AGGTCTGTGTCCCCCTGATTTTTATTTCCTCGGGAGTGCAACTTATGCAAAGGACACCTTAGGCTGCTTAGCTGATCACAAAGGGTGCACCAGACCCCCTCACTGTCTGCTTGAATAGCGTGCTCTGAAGGGTGGCTGAAACCGTGCTGGGAGTTCAGTCCTTCAGGTGGGTCTTTTCAAATTCCAATAGTGAGAAGTTACTGGAGAATTGGTAAGGATTTCGCTAGTCCCCAGCAGGTTTGAGATCAAAAGCTTTGGTTGAATAAAAGCCGGTTGGGAAATCTTAAAACCTCTTTGTGATGTAACTTTAAAAAGTTAATGCAAAGAACCCTTAGACTGAAGCCGCAACAGCATGAACAAAGGGTATATCAAAACTGATTCCATTAAGAGAAAGCGGACATACAAATTCACTTAATTTAGAGAGCAATCCAGTTATATTACTGTGCGAGAGAATAGAACTTGTACCGTATCATCGAGCCCATTTAGAAGACGTGCTCACTTCTTGTTACATACACCAGACCTCATCCTTTGCCGTCCAGAAATGCTTTTTAAACAACCTATATATTCATTTTCTGAAAAAAAGAAAGATAGATGTGCATTTGAACTCACTCCTCAAGAAGATACTTCTAAAACAAATTAAAATTAAACTTGATGGGGACCCATCAGTCAGTTGGTTATCACTTCTTCATGGTGTCAAACTGCTAATTGCCCATCCTCCTTAAAATAATAAACCTTCCATTGATATTGATTGGTAGATTGTTAATGAGTACATTAATTATAGTCTAATTTTTATAATTAATACTAATCCATTTCTTGGCAAATCATACACTTTTATTAAATGAACTCAGAAGTTAATATTTTAATGGAAATATTTTGCTCTGTCAACAACCACCCCCGAAACACCTTTATTGGTTTTAATGTCTGAACTTTGTAATTTGCTTTGCATCTTTCAAAAACATTTCATGTACTTGATGTCGCTCACATTCTTCACATTAGACATGGGAGATGGGTAGGGTAGGCGTTGTTTTCCTTTTTGTTGTTAATAACTAGGGAGACTGAGGTGCACTTAGTAGGACAAACAGTGTGCTCACGACTGCACAGCCATTTAGAGAAAGCTGGTGCTAGGAAGTATAGCTCCCAATTTCAAGCCTACAGATTTTTCAACTGAGCAATGTCACACACATGTCAGGATGTAATTATAGCTTATGGTAAAAAATAAACTGAGGCATATTAAAACATTTAAGAGTTTACTTGAGCAAAAATCAGTTCCATGGGGCAGCATTCAGTCTAGCAGGTAGAAAGGACCTCGGTGGAGCTGTACCCAATAAAGGACTTTTCTAGACAGAAGAAGAGTGGGAACAAGAAGTTTTACTTGGCCGAAAAAGCGGGTTGGTTATTGCAAGGTTACTTTCCTTTGGAGAATGGCAGGGGTCTATCAGGCAGATGACGTAACTAGTGCTAATCAGGAGATTCCTAGTTGGCTGGTTTAAGATTCCATTTCTGGGAGAGCCAAAACTGTAATTCAGCCTCAGTTTGGTGACCTGAGGCCTAGCATTTAGGGCCTGTTGTCTTGTTTTTCATACTTCAGTCACTCGCAGCTGGATTCATCCTGAAGAACTCCTTTCCAAGTGTGGTCACTATTGACAGTGAATATCTTGAAATTATCTTACTGATAAATGGAGAAACTGATCCTGCTCCCCGTATTCAGTTTTTTGGTTTCCATTGCCTCTTCTCTTTCTCACACGTCTTTTTTCACTCCTCTTCCTCCACGTCTGTTCTTCTGTCTGTGTCATCTGATTAATGACAGGAAAATGAAGAAAGGAAGGTGGCAGATGGAGTCAATCTCTGTGGGTAAGGTATAAAAATCTTTGAGGCAAGTACTTTAGGAATGAACCATCCCAATGAGTTTTTCCCCCAAGTACCTGCAGTCCCTTAAAAATATGAACAAAGATTTCAATCAACTGGCTCTACTGAAAGCAAACAGAAGCAAGACGTTTTTGAGAGTCGTGCATCCTCACAGAGTCTCCACCAAAACAGCCGAGCCCACACCCCACCCTTCCCAGGTGCGCCATCAGATGTTGGTCTGCTTCAAGGTGTTTAATGACCTCCTGGTCATGTCTGTCCTGATGGAACGCTGACTCGGATGGGCTCCCTACTGTGCAATTAGCCTTTCGTGATAAATAAAAAACTTCAGATCAGTAACCAAGGGAGGGCCTAGTTGCTAAATCTTTGATTCTCACATAGGTATGTGTAAGTAAGCTGATGTGAGTGTATTGACATATATATTCTACGTGGATCATATACACACTCACACAAATATAGTCAACCCGTGAAGTGTTTTATTAGAATATGAACATTCTACCCAAACACTGGCTCCATGCTCAGGGGGACTATGTGAACCAGCTTATTTTGATACTCCGGATACTTTCAAAGACACCCTAAGACCTTGCTATGCCTGAAGTGATTGCTTACTCATGGAGGGCTTTGAATTTTTAGACCATCCCAACATGTCACTGCATATTCTCATATTTGATCTCTAGCCTTGAATTCCCAAAGTTCAAAACCCATTACTCTAACAAATGAATAACTTGAACGTAAAGGTAGTCTTTGAACACTTGGCACAACATCAGCAAGATTCTGGACCCTCAGGAGATAATTTTAAAAGTACAGTTTATAGATTCAGGCTCAAGACATTTGTAATTCTGTAGTGGATGAAACACTTGAAGAGATGTGCAAATTCATGAACTGTTCCATAATTTTAAGTTGATCACTCCTTCCTCTGCGACCCCACCTTATCTTGCATCTACTCTAACAGAGCATTTACACACTTTATTTTGTGTGAAATTTCATGTGTCTTTTCCATTAGAATCACAGACTGTCTTGTTTTTTATAGTTTCTTCAGTGACTCTCACAGGACACAGAATAGGTGCTTAATAAATGTCAGCTGAGCTAATGAATAGAAACTAGATGAGCACCTGGAGGAGAAAAAGAAACATGATTATGTGTTGATTTTTTTTTTCAGTGCTCAAAACAGAGAAAGCAAAAATTAATATCTCGAATTTTTCAAAGTGAAAATAGCTGTCTTTTCTGACTAATAAATAATACATGCTCACTGGAAGATATCTCACAATAATTCCTCTATTTGAGAAAACCAGTTTTGATGATTTGGTGTGTGTATATATCTCTCAAGTGTTAATCCATGCATGCACAGGGTTGATGTTTTATTTTAAAAAATTGGAAACATAATATGCATATTTTGTTCAGTGTCTAACTATAAAAATTTGAAGAGTAGATTGCTGATAATTTCCCATGATACGAGTGTTTCCCTTTAACTGGCTCTGGTAGCCTCTGTTTTGTATATTTCATCAAGTATTTAAGTCTATCGACAGACATTTAGGTGGCATTCAAGTTTTTATTCTTATAAACAGTGCCTCAATAAACACCTTCTAACATCTTTGCAAGTTCAGATTTATTTTCTTGGCACAAATTCCTAGACATGAAATGGACTTAAAATGTTAAAGTATGTTGTTAAATTATTCCAGAAAAAAAGGTTGTGCCAACTTACACTCCCACGAATGGTGTATAAGCCATTTTCTCTAGAACCTTGCTTGGATATGTAATTCATTTAAAAAATCTTTGTTAATCTAATAAGGAAAAAAATCTCATTGGTTATTGTTGTTCTTGTTTTTCCAGTTTTGTTTTAAAGCCTAGACTACTCAGGGACCTTTTAAATAAATCAATTCTTGATAAATCACACATGGCCCTTCGATGAAACATGTCCAGTACCAAATTAACTCACCTCTCCCACCCAACTGTCTTCTCTTTGCACCAGCACTAGATATGAATCAAAGAAACAAGATCTTAATATTAAACATAATTAGGAGGATCAAATACATATATATATATATATATATATATATATATATATATATATATGAAATCTCAAAATGAAGTGTGTTTGATTATTGACTAAATAGTTTCATCATGGTTCCCCTCTATTAATGTGGATAATTGAGTAAATAATAACAGAATTCACAAATTATATAACCCTGTTGCAGGAACAACTCTTCAAATCACATCAGCTGCTGGTAATAAGACAACATACCTCTAAGTTTTTTGAAGGCTCTAGTGGGATCATTAACAATTCTTCCACAAAGTCTAGAACTCAAGAAGCAGCTGACATGATGCGGTGGTGTGAAAAAGAATCTGAGAAACAAGAGAGCTGTGTCTAAGAAAATAACACTGAAGACGTTAATAAAAACCACTTTATGTTTCCATAGTCCTGGTAAGTGTATGTGCCAGACCCTGCCTTGGAAAAAGAAATAGCACCTTCACACGTCAAAGTCTTCCAAGCCCATCCCAAGGAATAAGCACTGGTCAGTATTTCTCGCCCGTGAAGGACGGTAGGACTGTTCCACTGCTCACTGCAAAAGGAGCTGTGGTGAGCTACCCAGCACGTTCACTAAGAGACAGTAGTTGTGCTGGCTGCCTATTGCTAATAACAAATAAACACAAAATTTAGTAGCTTAAACCCACACACATTAAACCCACACTACTATCTCACAGTCTCTGTGGGTTTGGAATCTAGGCGCAGCCTAGCAGGGTCCCCCGCTTCAGGATCTCTTGTGAGGCTCTAATCTAGAAGTCAGCTGGGGACACAGTCACATTAAGATTCAACTGAGGCAGGATCTGCTACCAAGTTCACATGAGGAGTTGCCTGGATTCAGTTCCTCATGGGCTATTGGAATGAGAGTCTCAGATCCTTGCTGGCCATTGGCCAGAAGCTGCCCTCAGGTCCTGGCCATGTAGGGCTTTCCAACGTGGCAACTTGGTTCGTCACAGCCAGCGAGAGAGAGACCCTGCTAGCAAGACAGTAGTCCTAGACTTTTATAACCTAATCATGAAGGGTGAGATCCAATAACTTTGTCCATATTCTGTTCATTAAAAGCAAGTCCTTAGGTTTAGCCCTTACTCAAGGGGAGGGGGTTATACAAGTTAGTGAACACTGGGAGGCAGGGACCATTGGGGGCCACCTTAGGAGGCTGCCTACCACAGCAGACGGTTGCTCAGTTATTAATGGGAGTAGAGGACACTGGGGAAAAGTAGGAGGGAGAGTGCCAGGAGACGTGGTGGGAGAGGAGTTCCTAGGGAAAAGGCTCACGATGCTCCAGTGACATATACACTGTCAGTCAGCAAACACAGTTGAATCTGGGGGTACTAGCCACCTTGGGGAAGTGTGTTAAGTCTCAAGTCAAATTAGTATGTACCATGTCAAACCAGTAACTTCTCAAATCTCCCGAACTATCACTGGGAAAAATTGAAATAGTAGATAGAAGTGGGTGATAATGGCAAAATAATTGATAACAGAGAAGCACAACCTCAACCAAGAGGGAAAAATATTCCATAACTAATGTAAAGAAAGATTATAATTCTTATTCCCTCAAAATGCTGCATCCAAAAATTAACACTGACAAAGGGAAATTAATGACGTTCAAAAGACTCTGAATCAGTTTATTACATCTAAATATATTCGCATGTCACTTATTTGTCATTTGTCAAGCTTAAATTTTGACTCTGTCTTGTCAAGACCATAGACCTAGTGATAATTTAATGTCCGTCCTTATTTTGCACTCACCATCACTTTGTTAGGATAGTTGGTTCAAGGTAAAGGTATATTGCGGACCATAAAACAAAGCAGAAAAAATACAGCTTCCCGATTTATATGGGGGTTGAGGGGCTCATACTCATGCCAGCATTTTTATTAGCATGGCTGCTCTAGTATGTTGAGCTAATCAGCCGAGTGTTTGCATGAGTGGGTTATATACATGTTTCTATGATAACAAAAAATGAACAGAGATATAGCAGATAAATTGTCTTAACAGGTTTTGCTTGGTTTTAGTGCACAAAACTTACTAATTAATGCAAGTGTTGCAATCATTTTTATGACATTCCCCAAAGATGGCACTTTAAGGGTTATGCCATATGCTGATTGACAGCAGCCATAATTCCGTACAATGAGACTGTATCATATTGTTTGAAGTGAGGTGATGTTCGTCTCTTGAAACTGATCAAACATATCATTGCATCAAACAGTATTACAATATAATCACGCTGTATGCGGAGACTGCCAAGACTGGTCATCGTGTTGTATTCTCTTCCCTTGGACTTCTCTAATAGCACTTGTGACACACCACTGCATCCACATTTTCCTTTAAGAACTACAGAATCTAAGATTTATAAAAAAAAAAATCTGCATGAAATTGTGGAGTGGTTATGCTGTGTGAGTGCATGTAGACTGCTCTAGAATTACAAATTTGCTTCCACAAAGATACCTCTAAGTATACAAATAAAAACCTGGTAAGGCCAAGATAAAAAGAAAGGATTCCAAACAGGGTAGAAAATAATCCAAATGCCTTTTATTTGTCTTCAGTAAGCAAGCAAACATGGGAGAAATGGCTTTTTAAAAAAATACTTTTTAGTGTATGAAACTTCCATTGGTATTTTTTTCTAGATAGAATTTTCAAGGCCACTTGCTTTATCTACTGACTTTGGGGCTATTTCAGCTGCAGATGAAAATGATATTAGAACCTACCCTCCTCCCAGTTTTAGTTGCTGCTGATCTTGGAAAGCAATGTCAGGATGAGCACGAATGAATGAGGGTAATTTGGCTATTCTCGGAGTGGCATCCTCAGTGGCATGAAATCCTGTAACGCAGTAGCTTTTAGACTGACGTAATTTAAGAATTGCCCTTTTATTATTCATTGATCTACCCATCTGTCCATCCATCCATCCACCCATGCATCCATCTATCTAATACCTTGTAAAAAAAAAAAAGGCCATTGGGATACTTTGGGGACTATTTTCAGAACAGTTTACAAACAGGGTGCTAGGATGGGAGCCATTGTCTATGCATGCTGATATTCACTGAGACATGTGTTACCAATTCTTGTCCTCTGCGATTGACCCATGCTAGTCTCCGAGATGTCACCATCCTACCTGCACCTTATGCACTTGTCTAAGCTTAATATGCCCTTAAAACCACTGACTGTATTTAACTAAGGGTATTCTTTTACGTTTCTAGAATTTCTAATTGGTTCTTTTTCAAATCTATGTGCACCTTGTTTTTAATGCTTTATTTCTCTTTTCTAATGTTTTCAACATTTAAAATTTGTGTATTTTACAGTCTCTTTCTTATAGTTTGATTATCTGAAATTCCCTGGGATCTAAATCTGCTGCATTTATTCTTTCCTGTATCTCTCAGGGCAGATTGTTACCTTGCATGTGTTGTAATTTTCAATAGTGAGCTCATTTTTGATAGGCTTCATCTGGAGTCCTCCATGGTCAGTGATGAGGTTTTGTCACACCAGACTTCTCGGTTTGCTTCTGCTGGGAATACACTGAATCTCAGTATGGAGTGTTCAGGGACATGTGGTTTAAACACGAAGCTCACATGGGGTGCATGTCTTTGATTACAATTTCTCTGGAAAGGCTTATTTTCTACCCTCGATAGCTTGCTTCCTTGTTTTCTCTTTGTGCTAATGTGCAGATCATTTATCATCTACCATTTCACTGAAGGGGGAGTCCCTAAATGATCCTGGATTTATGTAAGAGGTTCAGTTTCAAATCCCACCTCCACACAGAGTTTCCAAAGCCTTGTCTCCATGGTCTTTCTGAGTACAAAAATGAAAGCTCCTAGGTTTCCAAGACATCACTGCCACCCCAGCCCACCCCAGCTCCTACAACCTGCCTTGGTAGTTCGTGTGGTTGCCATGGACTCTCAGGTCCTTCTTTCTTTTGGCTCCTGGTGATTTCTCTTACTATCCCCCGAACTTAACTTTAGATTGAAGAGTGTTCATTTTATTGCATCTAACATTCCTAGTATCTTAAGTGGGAGAATTTTCAGGATACCTACACCATAATAATCCTATAACTAGAAGTCTCTTCTTGAGGTCCCATGGGCATGTCAAAGCTAACCTGCTGCAAACCATTCTGATGAGCTTCTTCACAAATCTGCTGCTAGTCCCGTGTTTCTCAGCTCAGTTGCACAAAGGAGAATGTCATGTGAATCCCCCCTTCACTTTCATTGTCTAATCAATGACCAAGCCCCACTGAGATCTCTACTGAATCAAACCACTTGTCCCTATCCCTGCTGCTCCTACTTTAGTGTAAGCCACATCATCTTTCTCTTGACCACTGTAACAAACTCCTAATTCTCCTTCCATCCCGTCCATTATTTATACTGCATCCAGAAGGAATGTTCTAAACCTTAATCTGATATATTTACTTTTCTGCTTAAAACCATCAGTTACTTTCCATTGTTCTTTAGATAAAATAAAAAAAATTTAAATTCTTTAATATTGTCTATTTAATAAGGCCCATTCATTTCCATCATTAATTAATCCAACAAAAATAGTAATACTGAGCAGCTACGACTTACGGGCATGGTACTTAGAACTGGGCTTCCAGTGTGAATTAGTTTGCTATGGCTGTGCTACAGACAATGTTTCTGTCCATCCCCACCACCCCATTCATATGTCGAAATCCTAACCCCCAACATGATAGGAGGTGGGCCCTTTGGGAGGTGGAGGCTGTTGAGAGTCGATGAGGTCTTGAAGAAAGAGCCCTCTTGAATGGGGTTAGTGCCTTTATGAAAGAGACCTCACAGAGCTCCCTCAGTCCTTCTGTCCCATGAGGACACAGCGAGAAGACTGGTCTGTGAACAAGAAAGCAGGCTCTTACCAAACACTGAATCTGCTGGAGGCTTGAGCTTGGACTTCCCAACCTTCAGAACTGTGAGAAATAAGCTGCTGTTGTCTACTAGGCCCCTGGTATGTGGTATTTTTGTTGTAGCCGGGGTGGAGTAAGGACTGAGGCAGACTGCCATGACAAAGTACATAATAAGTTGGCTTAGGCAACAAGTACTTATTTTCTCATAATTCTGGAGGCTCAAAGTCCAAGATCAAGGCATTGGTGGGGTTGGTTTCTCCTGAGGCCTCTCTCAGTGATTTGTCAATGACTGTCTTCATACAGCCTTCCCTTTCTGTGTGTCTGTGTCCTGATCTTCTATTCTTAAGGACACCAGTCAGATTGGCTTGGGGTTCACTCTGATGCCTTCATTTGAACTTAATTACCTTGTTAAAGAGCCTCCAAATCAGTCACATTTCGAGGTAATGGTGTTAGGACATTCTACA